GCAAGCCACGCCCCGGCCAGCAGGGGACAACAGTGTCTGCTGGCTTCCCTGTCTGGCCACACACCTCACCCTCTGTGGTCACTGCACCTGCCGGGCCCCTGGCTGAGCCACTCCTGCCCTGAGGCTGAGGGCCCAAGGCCTTGCTCCTCCCCACCTTAGGGTGAACACTGAGGCCTCCTGCTCCTGGTGTGGCCCTCACCTCTGGTCTCCCCATGCCCCCTAAAACCATGTGCTTTTTTCATAGGGGGGCCAGGGGGGGGGGGCGGGGTAGTGAACAGCCCTGATGTGTGTTGCTAGGGCTTCCCACTGTCTGGACCATGAAGGTGACCTCACTGACAGGCTCAATGTCTTTTCCTACTTGATGTGTGGGTGGCCAAGGTATGGACTTGTTGCCACCTGGTGGTGAGAGTTGAAATCACACGTGGTTATCTGGAATTCGTCACCCCTAGAGAGTGTCCAGTCCACCACCCTCATGAACTGGGGAGGACTGCAATCTGACCCTCAGGAGGCTTCATAAACCTGCCCGAGGTCACACAGCAAGTTGTCACAGACCAGGACTACCCTGGCCTCCTCAGCGCCTCCTGACTTCAGGTTAAGGGTGACACCGAATACTCACCATGGAGGGGGTGAGTCCTGCCTTGGGGTCAGGCAGATGGGGTGGGTCCTGGCCAGCCCACCACCAGTGGGTAACACCAGACAAGAGACTCAGCCCTGAATCCTGGATCTCACCCCTAACAGTCAAACCCCATGCCGGCTTCTATGAGGCAGGAGGGGGTTGAATGGGGGCTACCACACTCCAATGTGGTTGGCACAGCACTGGCACACAGTAGGTGCGCAGTGAATGCTTTTCCTGCTACTGCTGCTTAAGGTGGAAACTAGGATCCAGAGGGGGCGTGGCTCTTTCTTGCTCCAAAACCAGGTGACTCCATTCAAGTCTGATCTTGTGTGGGAGCAGAGGGTGACCTGGGATGGGAGAGGCAGCTTCAGAGACCTCTCCCTGCCCATTCCTGTGCCCAGGGACGCGGCCTCCGCTTCCCAGAGTCTCCCAGGTCTGCTGGCCACAGGCATCAGCTGGGGGATAACGAAGAACACAGGCTCCTAGCCTCCAGCCCGCACACTTCCATCCGGGAGCCCGGGGACCTGGGAATCTGTATTTATAAGCTCTCTGGGAGGGTCACAGGGCCAGCGGTTTTGGGGGATACTGGCCACCGTCATCTTTATGGTTTTTGTGGTGGGAACAGCCAGGTACCCATGGGTGGGTGGGGCCTGTCTCTGGTGGCCTAGGGCTGTCTGGGGTGCCCCTGAGGGGAGAGTGACTAGAGAGGACGAGGTGAGGGTGAGGGAGGGCCGGCCAGCGGAGACCGGGCAGCAGCAGGTGTGCGGGCCCTGACCCCGCCCAGGTGATGCGCTCCAGGTCTCCCCAGGTGGACAGGCTGAGCTGGAAGGAGGGGGAGGCGGGGGTAGGAGGAGTCTGGGAAACTCCCACAGCGGTGAGGGCCCTTCTTTCGATGGGGCCAAGGCCAGAGGGATAGAGACACAGGGGTGTGCGTGCATTGCTTTCCACTTAAAATGCCAGCGCACTGTGAGAAGGAATCACTTTGGGAATTTTTTCCGTGTGTCCTCCCTTCTAGGGGTCCAGTTTGTTCCAGAAAAAGGGAGGGCACCGCCCTGAGGGCTGTCCCCTGTGCTCCCAGGAGAGGACCCTTTCCAGGCCTGACCACAGGAGCAGAGCCCACCAGGCCACAGTGTCTGCTGGCTTCCCCGTCTGGCCACCCACCTCACCCTCTGTGGTCACTGCACCTGCCGGGCCCCTGGCTGAGCCACCCCTACCCTGAGGCTGAGGGTCCCCAGGCCTTGCTCCTCCCCACCTTAGGGTGAACACTGAGGCCTCCTGCTCCTGCTCCTGGTGGGGCCCTCAGTTCTGGTCTCCCATGCCCCCGAAGACCACATGCTTTTTTCATGGGGGGGGGGGCGGGTAGTGAACAGCCCAGTGTGTGTTGCTATGGCTTCCCACTGTCTGGACCATGAAGGTGACCTCAGACTGGCTCAATGGCTGCTGTCAACTTGATGTGTGGAAGCCAAGTCACAGTCTCTTCTGCCACCTGGTGCTGACAGTTGGAATCACACGTGGTTATCTGGGGCTGGTCACCCCCAAAGAGCGTCCAGTCCACCACCCTCATGAACTGGGGAGGACGGCAATCTGACCCTCAGGAGGGTTCATAAACCTGCCCGAGGTCACACAGCAAGTTGTCACAGACCAGGACTACCCTGGCCTCCTCAGTGGCTCCTGACTTCAGGTTAAGGGTGACACCGAATACTCACCATGGAGGGGGTGAGTCCTGCCTTGGGGTCAGGCAGATGGGGGTGGGTCCTGGCCAGGCCACCACCAGTGGGGAACATTACACAAGGGACTCAGCTTTAAAACCTGGACCTCACCCGGAGTCCTGTTGGGTGCGGCTGCAGCCATAACTCAGGAGCTGTCAGGACCCAGGGAGCACTCTGCCTTTACCCCAGCAGGAGGCAGTGTGCACGCCTCCTGGGCCTTGGACGTGGCAGCCCGGGTTCCAGGGCTCCTCCTGGGATGCTGGAGGACACGGCGGCCGCGCTGTGATGCAAGTCGGGCGACGCCTTGTCCAGCCGCCCGCTGCCCAGGGACCGGCCGCCTGGGCTCGGCCCCGAAGAGGTGCCCCTTGGCCTTGGCCACCACGTCTGCCCTCCTGAGACCACGTGGTGGTGGAGATCTTGGCAGCCTCGCAGGCTTCCAGGCAGGGCTCCTCTTGGCTCTGGGCCTGGGCGTCGCTCTGGCCCTGGCTGGGACACAGATCTTTGAGGAGGGAGGCCCCAGCAGTGGAGACAGCTGGGGAGGAGAACTGAGCCAAGCCGCTGAAGGCCGCCTGCTCGCTGGGGGACTGGTCAGAGGTGCTGCTGTCCTTTTGGTGTCGGTCCTCGTACGCCCCCGTGGACTGGAGGGTGAGCAGTGTTCTTTCCCTGTCTCCATGTGACCTGCATGTAATCCTGTTGGCTCACCGGGGAGGTCTCCCTTATTAAACCTGGCATCTTGCACTCACAGGGCCATGGGAAGCGGCCAGTGTGTGCTCATGTGCTTCAGCCACCCCAGGCCCCAGTGCAGCCCGGCCCAGGAAACAGGAGGCCCTGAAGCCTTGGGTACTGGCAGTCAGAGAGTGAGGGTGGACTCAGGAGGGGACAGCTGGGCATCACAGCCAGCCGCCCCTCAGAAGGGGAAGGCCCCCAAAGGACCCGGCACACTTTAATCCAGGTGTGATGCCCAAGGGAACGAGTGCACCCTGGATTATGTCTCCCAAGTATTCGGAAGCCCCTGCTAATTCTTCTTTTTCTGCTTTCTGGCCCTGATGCACATTGTTCTGGAGAGATCAGACTTCCTGGGCCCCCGAGTGTGGAGGAAAATGTTGTGAAGTGTGAGAGGTGGGGAATGAGCACTGGCTTGGGGTCAGGGAACTCTAGGCTAGCTCGGGCACCAGGCAGCCATGTGATTTGGACTCAGTCAGTTAACCTCTCTGGCCTGTTTCCCTGTTGGAAAACCTGGCGGTTGGTGTAAACAAACTTTGAGGTTCTTTCCGACAGGAAAATTCTAGCTTCCATACTTCTGTGGCTCTTCTAAGGCACCGAAAGAGCTGTCTGTCACTAAGTCCATGTACTTTTACTGCCATAAAGAGCACTGGCCACCGTTCAGAGCTTATTGACTCAGATTACTCACACTTCTAACAACACTAATTTTTCACACGCAGGTCACAGGCAGAGAGGGAGAGCCTTAGCAGCATCTTCAGGCGCAGACTCCCAGCCACTGGAAGGTGGGCAGGAGGAGAGGGAGCAGGCGGAGGTCGCACCGCAGGCGGCCACCCCGTCTGGGGGCAGCCAGGCAGGGCTCTGGGCATTGCCCGCCCTGCAGCCAGGCTCCAGAACTGGGAGGCCGGAGCCCCGATCCCTTTGCCCACCAGGAGCGGAGGTCCCTCTCATGTCGGTGTCCAGAGGGAGCCCTTAGCCGGGAGTCCAGGCTAGTGGCTGTGTGGTGCGCTACACGCCATTCCCTCGGTCTGGCACAGTACTCGCCATGGCTGTCCTGGAGAACAGTGACTGCACATGAGAAGGTCAGACGTGTCCAGAATCCCCCTCTGCTCTTGTTCTGAACACTGGTTCTTGGCCAGCCACACTTGAGTCGGGACAGGTTTATATCAAACCAAGCTTTCTTTTTATTTTATTTTTATTTTATTTTATTTATTTTTTATTTTTATTTTTGGCAATGTTACTGCTTAGTATTATTTTTTTCTCCTGTTTGTTTGTAATTTCTGAACTTTTTACAGTGAACACATTAATTTTGTAGTGATGAATAAGGTGAACAGAAACTATTTCAAACATAAATGCCAGATTTCAACTAATCATTAGATGCCTGCAACTAATTAGGGTCATTGAAATGCATGCTTCTAACTTCAGTTGCTCAAGCCTTTTGAACTCTCAGACAATGGTTTAATAACCTCTCCTAGTGGAAAATAGATAGTAAGTCTTGCAAATGTTCTCTGCTCAGCTCTTCATACCTCCATCCCAGCCAAAGAAACACTTCTTATTTTGATGTGAAAATAGGTACCATCCAGTATCAGCGTCTTCAGTTGTTGTCCCCTCAAAATTTATCTACATGTTAACTTTTCTGTCTTTTTTAATCTGTTTGCTGTAAAGAATGCTTTCTTTTTAAAAAATACAACTTATTCTAAACCCCCCCCCCCCCCCCCATTTGAGCCTTTATAAATTAACAAGGGGAATGACTACCTTCAACCTACCCGGGCTTCTAAAGTTCACTCCCTAATCCTCCTCACCTCGACACAACAGATGCTCCACTGCTCTCTGGCGTACCAGTGAATAATGCGAGTTTTGTTATCAAAGAAAACACTATAATATCAAAAGAAACATCAAAAGAGCTTTATTCAAAGTAATGCCCATTGTAGCTACACGTTCCCCCCATCTTACAGGTAATCTGTGGGCACTGTCCCAACAGAATTTTTCTTGTTTGGAGGCAAACCATTCAGGGATCCAAATTTCCACTTCTTTGCACGGTTTGAAGTGCTTCTCAGAGTGTGCGTGTGCCGTCCATCAGTACCTGTTATGGCGCCTGTAACTATGCCCTCGGTTCCTGTCAGGTAAAGGCCCAGCCTGAGAGGCCAACTATAATCGCGCAGGTGGGCATCCCAGGGAGGACCAAGGAGACGGGCCTGTTGACTGTGGCCTTGGACGGGACTGGGGCTGTGGCCGTGGCTGATGCAGCTGTAATGGAAGCAGGAGAGTGAGAGCCGTGCAGAACCCAGTTCCATGGAGAGGCCCTCAGCCCCGCTGTCCGGGGACCCTGCCGGGCAGTGTCTGCCTCTGCGTGTGGCCGCCCAGGGACAGGTCCTGGGGTTGGAGCAGAGGGAGCAGGTGGGCCCGGGCCCTTGGGGCTTGCACAGCTAACGGGGAAGCAAGGCTGACAGTAGTCATGCCTGCTGGAACAGGAAGGAGGAGAGGAGGGGGGGAGGTGGTAGAGAATCCTCGCAGGAGCTCACTGAGGAATGTTAAAGGATTCCAGAAATAGACCAGTTGAGTTGCAGAAGACAAACAATGCTGAGAAGAGGGAACAGGACTTGGAAACGGTCTGGCAACAGAACCATGCCCGCAGGTTTGCAGTCAGCAAGAAACCCTGGAGAGTGAGTGGCCCAGGGTATGTGCAGGCAGAGACTGAGGAAGTGAGAAACCACAACAGGGATCCCAGAACACACCTATGGCCCTTATTCTCCAAAAACCCTCACCGTGGAGGATGGATCACTTTCTCAATCATACACTCCACATACCACACACACCACACATCACACACACCACACACAGAGTGTGAATGTCATTTCAAGGGACCTACAACCCCCCTCCCTCTGCAGAATTACCTTGTGTGCTCAGGGGACACACCACTTGTTGAAGCCACTGCCTACAGTCTCCAGTTGAGGTCATAACCAGGAGGTGGGTCATAGCTGTGTCACCCGCCAATGCTCTCTTTAACCGCCTGCCTTCACCGCGCAACACCGTCCAGTGTCCATTCGTTGAGTCAAAGCGGAGAGATGGCTGTCCATCCGATCCAAACTGCCAGGATGCGCTGGTTTGCCCACTGGACTCCCGCTCACACGCCATGCTGCCCTGCAGGGCGAGAGGACCTGTCCCCAGCACCGTGGGAAGGAGGTCAGCCTTGGGTCTGGCAGAGTCTCCACTGGTGTCCAGCCCCGGCTCCCCTCTATCTCCTGGTCCGGCTCTGTCCTCTGAGGCTCCCAGTCTCACGGGGGGACCAACTTCCCACATTTACCCAAACACACCTGAGCCCTCAGCCCTCACCTCTGTTCTGCCTGTGCCCCGGGTTCGGTGAACTCACCGCCGGCTGCAGGAATCTCTGCTCTCATGTCAAGCAGGGGCACCCTGAGCTCTTCCACCACGGACTGCAGAGTGTCTCTCTGCTCGCCCCAGGCCCGTGTGGCATTCATGTCCGGAACACTGGTGAGTGTCAACTGGCCACCACAGGTAAAATGAAGAAATGTGTTCCCATTGACCCGGCCCTCAATGTCACACCACGGCTGTCCATTAGTCCTGACTGTTAAGTCATAGCCCAGAGAGACGGCACCTGTGAGGGAGACACGCAGGGGCTGGAAAAAAAACACCCCGAGTGCCCCTCCCCATCCCTGACAGCAAGTGACCCCCTGATGGCTGGGCGGCCCTTCTCCCGTTCGGTCCAGATCGCAGGGTCTCCGCTCCCACTTTGGAGAAGCTTTGGGGACACACACACACGTGCCATGGGGGCCTGGGCTGGAGGAGGGGCTTCATCAGAACCCCCGGGTCCTCCTGGCTCCCATCTTCCTCCTGGTCCCTTCGCCCAGGACCATTTCTGACAAGTCACAGGCTCAGGTCGGTCCTCTCACCGGGAAAGAGGCAGCCGGGCATGCAGAAGCCCCGAGTGAGCGGAACGGCTCCCGCAGAGAAGACCGCGGAGCGGTGGGGGGTCTGTGCCCCACCGGCCGGCAGGGTCCCGCCCATTCCATCCCTCAGGGCCCCGTCCCCACGCTGCTCCCTGGCCCGGATTCCATTGCCCAACTCACAGCGGGGAGCCGCGGGTTCCCACAGCAAGGAGAGCAGCAGGAGGAGGCGGACAGCTTCATACCCAGACAGATCCATCTCCTCTCTCAGCAGCGGCCGCTCTCCCAGGACGCGGGTAAGAAAGTCTTCCAAGTTTCAACCCGGGTCCACCTGCAGTCCGGCCTGGAGCCCCGGCGCCGCCAGGAGCATCAGCCCGTGGTGGGCCCCGTCCCCGCCCCCGCCCCCATCAGGAGGATTTTTCCCGTGGTGGCCCCGCCCCCGTCCCCCGCCCCCATCAAGAGGATTTGCCCGTGGTCGGCCCCGCGGCGGCCTTTCTCCGTCTGTCCTTCGCTCCCTGGCTTTCTCCTCGCCTGCTCCCATCGGCCGAGTCCGTTGCAATGGCAGAAAGCGCGAACTCCCTGCCAGCACGGGCTCTTCCTCTCACGGGGCAGGACAGAAATGGCGCCGGGAGCTTGGTCCCGGCGTGAAGCTTCCGGGCGCTGCCACTGCTCTGCCACCCTGATTGGTTGGGGCCCGGAGGGTAGCTCCGGCCTGCGCCTGAGCGCCACCCGGAGTCTGGAGTCCTGGCCTTCCCTTTCCGCTCCCGGGAGGCCGGCCGGATTCCAGTTAAAAACAGGACAGCCCGCCAAAACCGGTGTGCCTCAGAGGATAGAGCATTGGCCTGGGGATTGAAAGGTCCGAGGTTCGATTCCGGTCAAGGGCATGTACCTTGGTTGCGGGCACATCCCCTGTAGGGGGTGTGCAAGAGGCAGCTGGTCGGTGATTCTCTCTCATTGATGTTTCTAGCTCTCTATCTCCCTTCCTCTATGCAAAAAATCAATAAAAAAAAAAAACCCACAAAAAAACCCGACAGCCTCAAAGGCGGAGGAAGGGGAAGCGGCGAACCGAAGCCAGTGTGCAGTTCACCTTTTGATAGCGCTGCCAGGAGAGGGGTTTTCTTTTTTTAAAAATATATTTCATTTTTCACAGAGAGGAAGGGAGAGGAACAGAGTTAGAAACATGGATGAGAGAGAAAAATCCATGAGCTGCCTCCTGCCACTGGGGATGTGCCCGCAACCCAGGTCCGTGCCCTTGATAGGAATCGAACCCGGGATCCTTCTGCTGATGCTCTATCCGCTGAGCCACACCGGTTTCGGCTGCTTTTTTTTTTTTTTTTTTTTAAGGAGAGAGACTCCCGCTGTCCGCCTGTGGTTGAAGCCGGGGTCCAGCGCGACTGCAGGCGCCTCCTGCGAGGAGGGGAGGGAGAGAGGAGGCGGGGAGCGGGGCGGAGAAGGGGAAGAAAAGGCCAGAAGTCTTCGAGGAGAACCCGTCGCCTTTGCAACAGAGACCTGGGGGCTGGGGCGCGGTCTGGCCCGGGAGCTGACCGGTTGGAGCCGAGCAGCGGGGCTCGGGCGCCGGTCGGTCAGCCTACTCGCTCCTCCCGCTCCGGAACCGGCTCCGAGGGGATTATTATTATTGTATGTGTACATCTTTCCATCCCCCCCCCCCCCCCCAGCGGCTTTTTAAAGACGCCAGACGCAGGGACAGTCAACCTGAGACCCTGTCTCCTGATCGCTCGCCTCGGCCCCCTTAAAAGCAGCTTTAATTCTCCTCCCCAAAGACACTGACTCCTTGAGCACACTCCCTGCCGGGTGCTTTTGTTGTGGTTGTTTTTTTCTTTTCTTTTTTTGCCTATTTAAAAAACAATGAACTGCCGAAACCGGTGTGGCTCAGTGGATAGAGTCTGCGGACTGAAAGGTCCAGGATTCGATTTCGGTCAAGGGCATGTACATTGGTGGCAGGCACAACCCAGTGGGCCGTGTGCAAGAGGCAGCTGATGCATGATTCTCTCTTATTGATGTTTCTAACTATCCCTCTCTCTTCCTCTCTGTAAAAAAATCAATAAAATATATCTTTAAAAAATAAATAAAAAATAAAAAACAACAACTATGTGCTGCTGTTAAAACCAAACAGCAGCTGCGGACTGTCCCCATGAAGCCCAGGGCCCCGCCCGGAGCGGAGGGACCTCTCCATGAGAGATGGGTCATCCCCAGACAAGCATGGCCTACAGTCCATTCCCACCTCCCCGGGCGGCGCCGGACTTCGCCATGAGCACGGTGCTGGGCTACCAGCCGCCCTTCTTCCCACTGACTCTGCCTCCCAACAGGCCACCTCGCCCTGGCCAAGCCCATCCTGCACCAACTGGTGGGGCGGCCGAGGCCCCGCACCCCCTTCTCCTCCCTGCGACCCCAGGGCCTCTGAGCCTCTGTGTTATGCCCAAGTGTCATCAACCCCAAAGACTACCAGGGAGCCGAATCCCATGCAATTGCAGAAAGCCTGTATTTATTTCGTGAGGAGTGAAAAATTACTGACCTTGCCTGGAGGGTAGAAAGTTACTACTCCCTCCCCCTCCTGGACCTGAAGACCAAATCAACAGTCTGGGTTAGTCAAGGCTGAAGGCCAAATCAGCAGTCTGGGATAGTCAAGGCTAAGATAGCAGAACAAACCAAGGAGGGAGATTAGGCCATCTGGCTGATGCATGCAATCACAAGGTTAAGACCCCCCCCCCCCCCCCCCCCCCCGCCTTGTTTGGAATGTGCTTGTTTGAAGAATGCTTAAAAAGAGAGAGACCGCTTTGTAACCGCTGCTGCTTCTGGCCGTGCCATTGCCACGGCGGCAGCCCAGATTCGAATCTGCAATAAAATTTGTAATTAGACTCCGCAATTGGCTAGTTGGAGTTATTTCCCGGGTAGGGGTCTCTGCCTCTTGGGTGGTCTCATCTCCATTCAACAAAGGTGACCTCAGTGACAGGCTCAATGTCTTCTCCTGCTTGATGTGTGGGTGGCCAAGGCATGGACTTGCTGCCACCTGGTGGTCAGAGTTGGAATTACATGTGGTTATCTGGGGCTGGTCACCCCCCCAGAGGGAGTCCAGTGCACCCCCATCATGAACTGGGGAGGACGGCCATCTGATCCTCAGGAGGCTTCATAAACCTGCCCGAGGTCACACAGCAAGTTGTCACAGACCAGGACTACCCTGGCCTCCTCAGCGCCTCCTGACTTCAGGTTAAGGGTGACACCGAATACTCACCATGGAGGGGGTGAGTCCTGCCTTGGGGTCAGGCAGATGGGGTGGGTCCTGGCCAGGCCATCACCAGTGGGGAACATTACACAAGGGACTCAGCTCTGAATCCTGGATCTCCCCGCTAACTGAAGAACCCCAACCGGTTTCTGGGGTGTGTGTGTGTGTGAATATGGGGGGCCACTAGGCTCCAATGTGGTTGGCACAGCACTGGCACACAGTAGATGCGCAGTGAATGCTTTTCCTGCTACTGCTGCTTAAGGAGGAAACCAGGGCCCAGAGAGGGGAGTGGCTCTTTCTTGCTCCAAAACCAGGTGACTCCATTCAAGTCTCCTCTTGGGTGGGAGCAGAGGTGACCTGGGATGGGAGAGGCAGCTTCAGAGAGACCTCTCCCTGCTCATTCCTTGCCCGGGGAGGCGGCCTCTGCTTCCCAGAATCTCCCAGGTCTGCTGGCCACAGGCATCGCCTGGGGGATTACTAAGAGCACAGGCTCCTGGCCTCCATCCCTCACACTTCCATCCGGGAGCCTGGGGGCCTGGGAACCTGTATTTATAAGCTCTCTGGGAGGGTCACAGGGCCAGCGGTTTTGGGGGATACTGGCCACCCTCGTCTTTTTCCCCCCCAAATAAATCCTTGTTTATTGGTGTTGCTTAGACCTCGTCATTGAACAGTGCGGCCACTCATTAATAGACCGAGGTCCTAAAGGCCTTGTCCTGCAGAGCTTTATTTGAAGGATCCACCTCATTTTCATAGCTTCTTGATGGACATGTTTTTCTCACTATCCTTTTGCATGACCTTGGCTACCGCCATCTCAAAGTCCTCCTGGATGACATGGACTCGCTGTTCCCGTAGGCGTAGGGGTGTCGAACTCAATCAGAGAAGGGGCCAAAATCTAAAATCCAGCCTAAATCGCGGGCCGAATGGTTTACTGAACAGTCATAAACTGTCATTGTGATGGAAACGCAGCGGAGTGCAGTGATGACAGCGCAGTGCGGGCCACATTGCAAGGCCTGGCGGGACGGATTTGGCCCGCGGGCCTTGTGTTTGACACATGTGTCGTAGGGCATACATGTCAGCTTCCGTGCACACACTTTTCACTTCAGCCCCTGATGCTCCTGGCATGAGCTCAGCAATTTTCCTCAGGTTGATCCCCCAGGTCAGGTTCATTTTTCGAGAACGAATCTTCAAAATGTCCAGGCGAGCCTCCTCATTAGGGAGTGGGAATTCAATTTTTCTGTCGATGCGCCCTGGGCGAAGCAAAGCTGAGTCCAGGATGTCAATCCTGTTAGTAGCCATGATAACCTTGATATTCTTGGTGGTCTCAAAGCCGTCCAGCTGGTTGAGCAGTTCCAGCATGGTGCGCTGCACTTCACTGTCCCCCCCAGAGCCCCCCTCCAGCCGCGAGGAGCCGATGGAGTCGATTTCATCCATGAAGATGATGGATGAACCGTGTTCTCGTGCCATGACAAACAGCTCCCTCACCATTCTTGCCCCTTCCCCGATGAATTTCTATACCAATTCAGAGCCAGAGACACGGATAAAGGTACAGTCTGTATGATGAGCCACAGCTCGGGCGAATAGCGTCTTCCCAGGGCCTGGGGTCCATACAGCAGCACTCCCTTGGGCTGTGCAATGCCCAGTGCTTCAGAGAATTCCGGATGCTTAACAGGCAGCTCCATGACTTCTTTGATCTCCTTGATCTGCTTGTCCACTCCACCGATCATCTCATAAATTGAATCTGGCACCTTCTCCACCATCATCAGTGACACCAGTGGGTCTACCTTGTTGGACAGGATCTTGTGCAGAGTGTAGCTGTCATTTCTTAGAGCCACCCGGCAGTTGGGTGTCACATCTTTGATGTTGATGTTCTTGTCCACATCTACAACAAACTTGCCCTCAGCATGCACCTTAACCCAGTGTTTTTCAACCTTTTTTGGGCAAAGGCACACTTGTTTCATGAAAAAAATCACGAGGCACACCACCATTAGAAAATGTTAAAAAATTTAACTGTGCCTATATTGACTATATATAAAATAATTCTCTTGAATAGGAATCAAATAAACACAAAGAAAGTATTTTATAATTACTTTATTATGAAATATTAAGTAAACAAAATAGTGAAAAATTATAAAATTCTTGTCTTGTCTGCACCT